CACTGCCTCTCCTACTTCCTCACTTGCCTTAGTAATGTTTTCAGGGATGACTTCTCAAACTATTTGAATTTGTATCCTTGTTTCAGGACCTAATTCTGAGAAAACTCAAACTAAAATGGCTTCACAGATTAGGTTTCCAAGGAAGCAGACTCTGAAATGGAGATTTAGAATTTATCAAGAGTACTCTTGTAATTGGGTTTCCTGGTGGCGGTAGTGGTAAACAACCCACCTGCCAATTCAGGAGATGTAAGAGACGCAGGTTCGATCCCTGGGTTGGGAAGATCTCCTGGAGGAGGACATGGCAATCCACTCCAATATTCTTGCCTGGAGAATCCCATGGACAAAGAAGCCAGCAGGCTATGGTCCATAGAGTTGCAGAGTCAGACACAACTGAAGGGACTTAGCACACTCTTGTAATTAACGTCTGTGTGATAAGAAAGCAGGATTGGACAAAGGAAAGACTTGGGCTGTGGTTACAACAAAAGTCTCAAGCAACTCCAAGGTGAGCTCAGAAGTCAGATTGATTCTTGAGAGTTGTCCTAAGTTGAGGTGAGGGGTCTTGGCTTACATTCCTTTATATTGTTACGTAGTTAGAATAGGGAAAAGGATTCCAGAATGGCGGTGGCTAAAAGACCTGGAAGGGAAAAACCTGTGAAAATAGAACAAAGGAACGTCCGAGGACCGGAGTGAGAACCTCAGGTAAAACAAACAGCACTCCTGGCTGGCCCAATTTACATAGGACAGGCCCAGGGAGAGAGAAACATATAAAAAGAGGAGCCAAGGAGGTCTCCTGGGTATATCAGTCAGACACGACTGAGCAACTTCACTTCACTCTCTTCACTCACTTCATACTTTATCACTGGAGAAGGAAATGGCAACCCACTTCAGTATTCTTGCCTGGAAAATCCCATGGACAGAGGAGCCTGATGGGCTGTGGTCCATGAGGTCTCAGAGAGAGAACATGACTGAAGTGGCTGAGCATGCATATACATATATATATATATCATCATCATGGGCAGACTGCTGGTAGAAGTATGAACATTAAAACA